AACCTGGGCACATGGCGACCCCGTCTCTACAATTATACAAGAATTAGGATGGATATCAAGTTCCGAGTTGTAGGAGAAACTGGAAATAAACAGAAACCAAAAAAAAAACCTGGGTGATGGGTGGTGCGTACCGTAGTTCCAGCTACTCGGGAGGCTGGGGCAGGAGATTGCTTGGGGCTCTGGAAGTTGGCTGCAGTGAGCTAGGATTAAGGTCACTGCACTCCAGCCTGAGTGACAGAGTGAGACTTTGGTCTCTGAAACAAAAAAAAGAAGATCGTAAGGGACCAAATTTTACTCAGAGGCGGGACACTGTGATAGGTACAAGGACCACTGCAATGGGGTCTTGCGGTAGGAGAGTTATATTAGGATCGACTTCGACTCCACCAAAGACAAGTGGGGATTTGCAGTCAAGGAGTAGGAACAGGGGCGGGGCAGGGGGGGCGGTCAAAAGATGGGAAATTACTTGAAGGAAATCTCAGGTGCAAGGGATTCTGGCTAAACTGACTTGACAGGATTTTTGCTGAAACAGGCTAAATGGGCAGAGTACCTGGATGAAGGACAGAGCCTGAGGTTGGGACCTAGTCATTAACAGGACTCAGAGGAGCCCCACTCAAGTTTGGTCAAAGGAGAGTGTCTCTGTCTGAAAGCATAAGCAATAAAGTCAACAGCAGTAAAACGAATGGATCACAAAGGAGAATTTTTGTGCAATGCTAAGCAGGACTCTGCTTTAATCATTGTAAAAGTTGATTATGTGAAGTGTGTCGTTCTTAGTTTTTTTTAAGTTCTTACTTGCAGAGGAAGCCTTCAGCTACTACGCTTCAGAGAGAACAGATTGTAATCTTTTTTTTTTTTTTTTTTTTTTGAGACGGAGTCTCACTCTGTCACCAGGCTACAGTGCAGTGGCTCCTTCTCTGCTCACTAAAACCTCCGGCTCCCGGGTTCAAGCGATTTTCCTGCCTGAGCCTCCTGAGTAGCTGAGACTACAGGTGTGTGCCACCATGCCCAGCTAATTTTTTGTATTTTTAGTAGAGACGGGGTTTCACTGTGTTAGCCAGGATGGTGTTGATCTCCTGACCTCGTGATCCACCCTCCTCGGCCCCCTTAAGTGCCGAGATTATAGTCATGAGCCACCGCGCCCGGCCAACATGTTTCTTATCAGACTTCAAGTCTTTGTTGATGTTGATGCCAGAGAGGTATAATGAAGCATGTCTGACCCCCACTTCCTGTCATGGCCTGAAACCGTCTCTCTGGTTACATTTTAAAACAGTCCTGGCTTAGGAGGACGTTCATTCAGATGGGTGGGGGCAGAGGGCTTAGGATTTTATTTTTGATGTACAAGTCCTGTAAGATAAAACTGCACAAATTTTAAAGAACAAGTGTCATGCCCGATGTATGGATCACACAAAAAGTTCACCAAACTGTCCAATGCTATAACCAGAGACATTCGAATGACAAATCAGGATGAGAAGTTGATGTTTCCACACTGTAGACAGCTTTTCCCAAGACGTCAGAATAAGTCTTCATATCATAATGAGACTCTTACGCCCTTAATATCTACATTTTTCACTTGACAGAACCTGACCCCCAAATCCTTTCCTGCCGGGGGGATGACTTGAGACCAGGAGGTCAAGACCAACCTGGTCAACATAGTAAAACCATCTCTACTGAAAAAACAAAAATAAAAATATTAGTGGGGGCGAGGTGGTGCATGCCTGTAGTCCCGAGAACGAGGCAGGAGGATTGGCCAAGGCGGATTTTACCAACACCACAATCACATCCCATAAGTAAATATCTTTTCCTCTCTCCAGGACTACAGGTAAAGAATGGTAATTGTGCACACCATACTTAGATTCCCTTTCAAAAATGTAATCATAGGTTAGAGGGCCTTGGACTGTTTTTTTTAGTTGCAACAGATGTAGAAGCCACTGAAGAATGAACTCTGTGACTAAGTCCAGCAAAGCTGTGCAAGTGTGCTAGTTTGGAAAACATTGTGTCTTTCAAGTAGAAAAACGACAGATTGACCATTTATTTCTTCCCACAGTTCAGACTAGAATACAGATGTTTAACCCAAGATCCAGGGAGGGTCTTCAGAGAGATCAAAATCTCCTGATGGTGCCTGAGGACCTCCCACTTTGTCGCAGTGGCAGGAGGAGACAATATTCTGCAATGTCACTGCCCGAGGATGATGGACCAATCAGGGCAGTTAGTGAACTCGATTTGGCCAATCGGAAGTCAGAACAGTAGGCGTGACAAGCGAAGCTGATGTAGTGTCTATCAGTACAGGCTCCAGTGAGACAACCTTCCCAAGCAGTGATGGCAGGGAGAGGGAGAAGAGGGGACGGAGACTGATTTTCCCGAATAAAGCATCCCCTGGGATTGGCTACTTTAAGTTCAGAGTAGGCCCGCTCTTTCCATTCTTCCAAAATCAGAGTAAGCATGTGCTGATTTTCTCTTTCCATTCTTCCTACCCCTCCCCCCACCGTGGTGCATTTGTTATCTACTTTTAATAAGGCAGGTCGCCATCTCAAATCCTTCCTGTCAGTTTCTAACTTTTTCAGGTATGGGATTTTTCCTAGGAACTCTCTATTAACTTAAGAAATTTGGGCCAGGCGCTGTAGCTCAGGCTTGTAATCCCAGCATTTTGGAGGACACAGCTAGTGGATCGCATGAACCCGGGAGGCAGAGGTTGCAGTGAACTACGATCACACTACTGCACCCCACCCTGGGCAATGGAGCAAGACCCTGTCTCCAAAAAAAAGCTCACTCAAATCATTCCTCCTGGGCTCAATCGATCCTGTCACCTCCGCCTCATTACTACAGGCATGTGCCACCTCACCCCTGCTTATTATTATTATTATTATTGATTTTTTTAGTAGAGACGGTTTCTCTGTGTTGGCCAGGCTGGTCCGGACATCCCGGACTCAAGCGATCTGCCCGCCTTTGCAGAGTAGTAGCCCAGGGGACAGTGTGGGGTGACCAGGTTTCTGAGGAGGGGAGGACAGAGATACTGGGGGCAGGGAGCAGGGTCTCGGGGGAGACCTGGACCCTTGGGAGCCTCCCACCCTTGCTCTGTCATCACCTAGCATCCCTGGAGACAAGTCTGTGACCGTGCACTACATTTGGTGACTCTCAGTCCATTCTGGAAGGTGGGAAGGGAGTCAGCCAGCAGCGTTAAAGCCCTACTGTGTGGCAGGGGAGAAGCTAGGGAAGATCCCCCATGTTCTGTCAGTTAGCCATGGCATCAGCCAGGACGGATTATCATCCCCACTTCCTAGATCCAGCACACAGGAAGCGGCTCCAGCTGAATGGCAGACATGCCTAGCTGAGACACTGCAAGAATTCCTTTTTATTTTCCAGGCCTTCAATGATATTGCCCAATACTTCTCTAAGAAAGAATGGGAAAAGATGAAATTCTCGGAGAAAATCATCTATGTGTATATGAAGATAAACTATGAGGCCATGACTAAACTAGGTAACAGAAAGTTCTAGGTACAGGCAAGTCTGGGGACACATGAGCATCCCTTTTTCTGCTTTGGCTACTTTTAGGCTGCAGAAAGTACCCCACATTTTCCTTTTGTGCAGGGAAAAATCGCAAGGCAGCTTCTGGATGTTCTGCTCTTCTGTATCCTGCAGGGCTGAGGGCAGGGACTGGCCACAGTGGAGCTCATACCTGGATCCTGCACATTCCTCTCCCTTAGGCGTCTGTTCGGATGAGTCCAACTGTCTCTGTGACATTCCGGCACCGCCTACCCCCACCACCACCCACCCTACCTTCCTTCTCTCGGCTTGTCTCTCTTTTATTTTTTTGAGTCTGAGTCTCACTCTGTCACCTAGGCTAGAGTGCAGTAGTGCAATCATAGCTCAATGCAGCCTCAAACTCCTGGGCTCAAACGATCCTCCTGCTCAGCCTATGGAGTAGCTGAGGCTACAGGCACGTGCCACCATGCCAAACTAGTTTTATTTTATATTTTGTAGATAAGAGAATCTCTCTATGTTGCCCAGGCTTGTCTTGAGCTCCTCGCCTCAAGCTGTCCTCCCGCCTCAGCCTCCCAAAGTGCTGGTACTACAGACATGAGCCACCGTGCCAGGCCTAAGCTTGTCTCTTAAAGAATAAACATTTTGCTTCTTTCTAGGTTTCAAGGTCACCCTCCCACCTTTCATGCATAATAAACGGGCCACAGACTTCCAGGGGAATGATTTTGATAATGACCATAATGGCGGGAATCAGGGTGAGTAGATGGGAAGGGGATGGAAAGGGTCTCCTCAAGCCCAACTACTTTTCAGCTCAGCTACCTGGGAAAGATCCTCAGGCATTTGTTCCCTCATACACATCAGGACTGAGTGAAAAAAAAAAAAATTGCTTGCAGAAAGTTAACTACAGAGGTCATTCACATAAAATGCTAAAACATGCAAAACAAGAACATATATTTTATGGATAATAAGTAAATGGTAAATGTATAAAAACATGAATGCGAATAAAAAGCCATCAAATTGAGAACAATGACTGTAAGTGGAGAAGGAGGGAGGGCAGGGATTGGTGAGTGCTGCACAGACAGCTTCAGCCGTGACTTGTTGATAGTAGGGGTTTTTTTGTTTGTTTTATTTTGTGGCTTGTTTGTTTTCACGGAGTTTCACTCTTATCACCCAGACTGGAGTGCTATAGTGTAATCTCAGCTCACTGCAACCTTCACCTCCTGGGTTCAAGTGATTCTCCTGCCCCCGCCTCCTGAGTAGCTGGGATTACAGGCGCCCACCCCCATACCCAGCTAATTTCGGTATGTTTGGTAGAGACAGGATTTCAGCATGTTTGCCAGGCTGATCTCAAACTTCCTGATCTCAGGTGATCCACCTGTCTCAGCCTCCCAAAGTGCTGGGATTATAGGTATGAGCTACCACTCCCTGCCTGTTTATAGTATTTCTAACATTCTGAATAAGTAAATCAGGTCTAACATAGTTGTGGGGTACCGTTGAGATGCGACTGGACTCAATAGTATTCCACATACTTTTCTGTGTTTTTGAAATATTTATTTTTTAAAGGACATGTTGTTCTTGCTAAGCACTGTTAATGAATGAAAGGACAGTTAAGAAAGCGTTACAAGTGAAAAAAATTTTAAAAGAATGTATTAAAAGTGCAGATCTGCAAAAAGCTTCCAGAGTTTGTTTGATTAACAACATGTAGGTATTGGATAAGTATCTTATGAGAGAGGATAATGAAAATATTATGTAATAAAGATCGCTGTTGATCTCTATTTTACAAAAACCAAATACTCTTCTCACTCCCAAACAACCCTGAATCTCCGTGATGAGCTTGGAAGAGAGTTTGAAAGAGTGATCCCTCATCCAACACAGAAAGCTTTCCCACTTTTCAGTGAGCAGAGATAACATAGGGTGAAAAAAAGACAGGTTCTTGCATAGAGATCTTTGTGGATTTCAGGACTATTAAGGGGACATATATGTTTACTTGCTCTTCTGCTCTGAAAACACAGTTATAAGACAAGGTCAGAATGTCCAAAATGTCTCCAATAGACCTATTACTCCCCAACTAAACAGGCCAGATTCTACCATCTCCCACAATCATTATAAGAGGTCTGAAAATCCAGTGCTTGAGTATCTGCCAAATTTTTGACATTAAAGGAGTGTCTTTATACTGAAAATATTTCAGAGCCACTGGACTAAATCATCCATGGTTCATCACACATTTAACAGCTTAATCGACATATCATAAGATTCACCCATTTCAAGTGTAAAATGATTTTTAGTTGTTGTACATCTTGAGTGGATACAGTTCAGATTCCCAACCAAATAATTTAATTATTTGAGAAAAATTAAAAGATATGTAATGGAATAAGATGAGACTGTGATGGGGTTTAACTCCCATTTGATAAACCATGAGATGGAAAATTCTGAATTGATGCCACAGATAAATGCACCAACCATGACTAAACATAATTCAGAAGCAAATCTCAAATAACTCCTCAACAATGAGTGGACTCATAACCCTCTGCTGCAGAATGCCCTCATGTGACAGAAGTCTCTCTAGAGTTTGGAAATCTTTACCAACAAAGAAAAATTCTGATGTATTCTCTTTCAGTTGAATGTCCTCAGATGACTTTCGGCAAGCTCCAGAGAATCCTCCCAAAGGTGAATATCTCTCAAATTTTAAGGGCCAGAGAACCTTTGTTCCTCCACGGATGCAAACACTGGTAAGAGTGGGAGAATATCAAAAATGCCCTCACTGCCTCCTTCTCCCCATGTCTATCACAACACCTGATGTAGCATCAACGGCTTGATAATACTAACAGTTGTGATCCTAATACCTCTTTGTTTTCATAGAGATGCCAGATATTCTAAACAGTTTACATGGATAAATTTAATCTTTAAGAAGACCTCTATGATGATGTTTCTATTATTATCTCCAAATAATAACGTCTCATACATTTCGGTTGTCATCCACACAAAAGCCATGTGACTTAGTGCAAATCTTCTAAGTTCTGTGAGCTCCAGACTCCTGGTCCATGAAATGGAAGTAAAGAATCATAGTTCATGTTATAGATCCTAGTTATTAGCAACATAATAATGACATGAGGCTGTCATGGTACAGAGATGTTAAAAAATTTTCCTGAGGTGCAGTGGCAGTGGTAGTCTAATCCAGAGCTCCAAGCCGTTTAAAGCTCATTCACGTTTGCATTTGTTTAAGAAGTTCAGATACTGCTCACTAGGGCTTTACCTCATAGGGCCTGCTGGTGCTTCCATTGAGACACCCACTCTTGCAACAGGAAGGACCAGCTGGCCTCTGCTCTGTAACTGGGGCCACTCGCATCGCTTAGGAATCGCTTGACTGTTGGTCCCTTTCTACTGTGAAACCCTTGAGGGCCTTGTCTACACCTGGGGCACCCCGGAAGCCTCAGTCCCTGCCCAGGGTATCCCTCAGAGGCCCTTGAATGAGTGATTCCACAAGCACAGATTCAACTCTGGTTTAGAGGGTAAAGGGATCTGTGAGTTGGGTTGCCAGTGTGGAGAACAAATTCAAAGAAGGATCATGAAAAGTATTAGCTTTTGTTACTACTACATTTAAAGTGTTTGCAAGCTCAGAGAGGACTTTCCCTTAGCCTGTTTTACATGTATTTTTCACTATTTCATAAGTGAAGAAGCTGGGTAAATGTAGCTTAACAATGTTGATCAGTGACACATCCCAGTGTAGCCAGAATTGGCATGGGTACCACCTCACTTAATTCCACATTCAGTGTTCGTTCCTCGGTAGGGTGGTATGCCGTATCTAGTACTGCTTTCTTTGCTGCCTAGATTAATTTCAGCAAACCATTTCTTTCCCTCTCCCTTCCCTGTATTCATCTCCACACACCATCTTTCCCAGCAGTGTTTTGTCCCCTCTCTATGTTTTTACATTTACTCTCTCAGCAGCTGTCTACAAGCTTATATGGGATCCCTTGTATTTTATAGAAGCTCTTCCTTTTATAGACCTTGTGAATTCTTAGAATGCTATTCTCCAAATCTTCTGTATACCAAACTCTCAATTACATTGAGATTTTTCACAGACTACTCTAACAGATATAGTAATAATGGGTCTAAGGTTTCAGCCTCTCTAAGCCAGAGAATGAGAAACTGGATAAAGAAGGCCCATGGGCACTTGGGAGCAGCGAGGCATCTCCTTTTTTTGAGTAAACAGAGACTAACACTCTCCAGCCTACCCAACCCTCATTTTCCAATCTTCCCCATCATAGGACCCAAAAGGGGGAAACATACCTGGACCCACAGACTGCGTGAGAGAAAGCAGCTGGTGATTTATGAAGAGATCAGCGACCCTGAGGAAGATGAAGAGTAACTCCGTAAGTGAACCTTTGGCTCATCCCCCACATCCCTGCAGATGTGCTATTCTGTTACGGTACCGGTATCCCATCTTGTCACTTGTTCCCCAAATCATTCCCTTTTCATAATTTTCTAGGGTACAGCATTGAGGCTGAATGATGAGATTTCCCATGCTCTTTCTACTCCCTTGTCTGTATATGCAGGGATCCTCCCTACCCAGGATGCTGTGGAATCCCAAACCCCAGGTCAGCCCTGATATGCGGGCCACACCTTCCACTAGCCTAGGAATGGATAGACCAGGCGAGGAATTCACTGTGGCATGTGCAGATGGTTCATTTCAAGGAACCGTGGAAGGCCTGTGTGGGTCCTGAGGTAGGGCAGAATTGGAGTGTGCAGGGTCTGCAGGTCAGGAGGAGTTGAGATTGAGTTATCAGGCAGTGGGAACTCACTGCCACTTACTTACTTTCTCTCTTCTTGCCTCACCCTCAGGGATGTGACACATGCCCATGATGAGAAGCAGAACATGGTGACCTTTCAAGAACATAGGCATGGCTGCGGACCCCTCATCATCAGGTGCATAGCAAGCGAAAGCCAGTGTTCACAACAGTGAAAAGTTTAGCATCATTTTTCTTAGTGTGCCAAGAGTTCAATGTTAGCCTTTCCGTTGTATTTTCCTACAGTATGCCATTCTGTTAGATATTAGTGTTTTCACTGATGAACAAGACATACTTAACGCATATTTCAATTTGTGTATCCATGCACCTACCTTAGAAAACAAGTATTTTCAGGTATTCTCTCCATAGCATAGCACTACCCTCCTCTCTCCCCAGATGTGACTACTGAGGGCAGTTCTGAGTGTTTAATTTCAGATTTTCTCCTCTGCATTTACACCCATACACACACACACACACACACACACACACACACCAAGTACCACTATAAGCATCTCCCATCTGCTTTTCTCCATTGCTATGCGTCCTGGTCAAGCCCCCCTCACTCTGTTTCCTGTCCAGCATGCACTCCCCTCATCCGATTCCCCTCTATCAGTCATTGACAGTTGATAAGCATTTGCAAATGTTTCCCAATTGTTTGTTCCTCTCATTTGTGCACACAGTTCTGTGCACGTGTGTAAATATTTCTTTAGGATAGATTCTTAGAAGTGCAATTGTTGCGTCAAAAGAGTCATTTATTCAACAAAAACCTAATGAATGCGAACTGGTGCTGAGCGCTATTCTAGGTGCTGGAGAGACATCAGGGAACAAGGCAGACAGATGTTCCTGACCACCATTCTAGAGGAGGATGTTTCCAGTTGTTGGGTTTGTTTGTTTATTTGTTGGTTCTAGAGACAGGATCTTGCTCTGTCCAGGCTGGAGTGCAGGGGAATGAACATAGCTCAATGCAGCCTTGAACTCCTGGGCTCAAGCAATCCTCCCACCTCAGCCTCCAGAGTAGCTGTGACTGCAGGCACGTACCATCGTGATCTACTAATTTTTTTTAGGTTTTGCCTAGAGAGTCTCGCTATGTTACCCAGGCTAGTCTTGAACTCCTGGACTCAAGCGATCCTCCCACCTTGGCCTCCTAAAGTGCTGGGATTACAAGCATGAATCTCCTTGCCTGGCCTCCAGTTTTTATTTTGATAGAGACCATACACTTCAGTCCTGGAGCAGGATTCTGCAGCAAGTGGTTGGGCATCTTGGCCTTCACTCTCTGAACGATTTTCAAGTTCTAGGGCTGGGACGGTCCATTTGGGAGTATGTGGGAGGAGACACAGATGAAATCGTCATCTGGGAAACGTGGAGGAATGAAGAAGATGCGTGCACTGTAGACCCTGTGATAGACAGGGAATAGAAGAGTCCACTTAGTCTCCATGCAGGGGAGCAACGGTGGGAAATTCCCCTGGACAGAAGCATGAGACTGCCCATCAAGGGTCTTACCAACCAAGGGCCTCGGGGATGGGGTGGGGACAATGATTTGAAATGGGACAGCTCTTTCTCACAGGTACCACTGCACGGTGCAGAGGTGAAACTGTTGTGGGGCAGGGAAGGGCAGAGGGGAGTCTGTTTTAGAACAAATCATTGTGTGTGAATGAAGACATTAAGGCTCCATTCACACACAACAGACTTGAAACACCAGCCCCAGGTGGAGGCAGGATTGGAGCTGTTTTGACTGTCCATAACCCATCACCTTGGCCTCCTGGTTCTCCTCAGCCTTGGAAGGAGGACACTATCATCATTATGCCTATATGATAGATGAGAGACGGAGTCCCAGACAGATGGTAGGCGTCTTGTCACAGGTCCTACAGCTGACAGGGGCAGGAGAAGCTGAGTTTGGAGCTCACTGACTCTAGAAACATTAAGGAGGACAGGTGTGTATGATGGATGGAGGGAGAATTGAACAAGTGCCAGGTTCTGCCCCCAGTCACAATGTAGAGGCTGTGGGATCATTTACCCAAGACAAGGAGCGCTAGGAGAGAGAGAGTGCAAGGATGGAGAGGCAGTCGTAGTCACAGCAGGGACAGTGGGAGACAGAGATATGCAGCGTGGGCAGAAGAGGGGCAAGCAAAGAAGCTGGGAGACCCAAGGCCAAGTGTGGGCTGTCACAACCACCAGAGGGACAGGGTGCCAGGAAGGAGGCTGTGGGGCTCCAGGAGCAGCAGAGGTTCCCCAGATCTGTGAGCATGCCCTGCCTGGCACTGCAGGAAGAGGTGGCTGCCACCCAGGTCAGTGTGGACGTACCTCTTCCTGTCTCAGAGGAAACAAATTCTGTTTTATCCCAATATAGTTCTGTATTACACAAATGTGACATTCGGCTACTAGATATTGAGTGCCTTATCCTCCATGCAAATAGAGGAGAGGATGCCCCAAGAGAGATACTGAAGGTTTTGATTTTTCTTTCTCCCTGGGAAGATGGGATCCATAAGTTGGGTCCCCCAGCCCACAAGGCAGGTGCAAGGAAGGGTGGCTGGAAGATTGTGAGTCATGACAGGGAACATTTTTCCCTAGGTTCCTTGGGTGTATAAAGCTTCTGACTATCTGTCTATCATGTGTAGATAAAGAGTGAACATGGTCCCCTCTCCACAAATGTGTTTCTCTCCTTCATTATTACTGTGAAGGGCTGAATTTACAGCAAGTCATGATACACTACTTTTGTGGTTTTTTGAGACAGGATCTCACTCTGTCTCCCAGGCTGGAGTGCAGTGATGCAAGTCCAGCTCACTGCAGCCTCGATCTCCCAGGCTCAAGGGATTCTCCCACTTCTGCTTCCAAACTAGCTGGAAGTACAGGCACACGCCACCACACCCAGCTAGTTTTTGTATT